GACTTCATGGCAGAGATTCTCATGAACTTGGTCAGTCTGGTGTAACGGAAAGAATATGGGCCGGAGAACTTTGGCAGTCGGTTTCCTTCATTTGATTTAGTAAACCATGCTGTGTGGTAAATAAGTTTTAGGGAGAAGGAAATTGATAAGAAGAGGCCTATAATTATCAGAAAAAGGGATTGGACCTGATTACTGGTTTTGTAATTGTTCCTTGCAGAGCACCTGAGGGGCTGAGGGAACAGAGGAATAAATGGGGAGGTCCAAGAGGAATCTGTTGCTTTCAAGTTTCTCACTTTGAACAGTTTTTCCTGATAGACTTCTTTCTGGGCTTTCTGCTCCTGAAAGAGTTCTTTGGCAAAGATACATTAGAAAACTGTTGAATTCAGTGAATGTGATGATTCCTCCAACTTTGGGTATTTTATGCGCTGTGCCTGAGAATAGTATTGTTCTGCTAAGATCATGCAAAATTCTAGGACGTTTTGGATTTTTCTTTTTTTCTCTTGACTTCAGGGAATAAAAATGTAATTAAGATTTCTGTGTATTTGAGTTTTGGAATGTCAGCACTTCCTTCAGTGGAGTTTTACCTGGGAGTCCTGTTGGCCTGGGGTGAGAATTTGCTTTTTAAGGCAGTCCAGAGGACCTGATAAATTTAGGACCAATTATTATGTTAAATTGTCATGGGGTTCCTAACTGAGTGGTTAGTTAAGTTCCAAACTCGAATTGTCTTGAGATGGAAGCTTGTTACCTTCTTTGCTGGCAGGTATTTTTTTTCTAGCTCATCCTTTCCCTCCTCTGTGCAGTGAGCGTGTCGATAGTCCTGGCTGTCCCTGTGTGTGTGGCTGGTGATTGCCTTAGTTCTGATGTGCTCCCTCGCTTAGGTCTGTAGTCTTTATTCCCCTGTCCTGCCTGCCTTGATGGGGAAGCCCTGGCCTTTATCTTATCAACGTTGTCATTACTTGCTTGTTTAGTCTCATCATCCCCACCCCCTATCACCCTAGCGTGGTCTTTGTTTTTTATGCCTCAGAAGATTAACACTTTGACTTTTAGTTTGATTTTTTGTCTTCTTTGATTTTTGCATCTAGGGGTTTGATTTCTTCCTAGAGATCCAGTTGTACATTTAAAATAAAGTCTGTGGGCACCTGCGTGGCTCAGTTGGTTAAGCGACTGCCTTCAGCTCAGGTCATGATCCTGGAGTCCCGGGATCAAGTCCTGCACCAGGCTTCTAGCTCTGTGGGGAGTCTGCGTCTCCCTCTGACCTTCTCCTCGCTCATGCTGTCTCTCATTGTCTCTCTCTCAAACAAATAAATAAAATCTTTAAAAAATAAATAAATAAAATACAGTGTGTTATGGTTTGTCCAGCATGCATTTGAAGTGGTAGGGTTTTCTGGTTGTTCAGCCTGTCATATTGGTGGAGGCAGGAACACTTTTCATCTGCAGAATGGGATAAAGAGAGTCAACTTTGTAGGATAGTTGTGAGGAGTAAACGAGGTACGTTATTTTCATCTAAGATGCCAGTACTACAAAACTGCCACGACTTGTGCATTTTCAGATAAATGGCAAGTTGTCAGTGATGTATATATAGTGCCTCGTGGTAAATTTAAATTATCCGTAATTGGTGGCAATGATAATACTTTTTGTTCTCCCCAAGAATAAGAGTACTGCAGCAATAATTAGCTAAGAATAGAGGTGCTAATTATAAGACTGTTACAGTTTCTCTTATTAATAACATTGGGAAAAATTTCTAGAAAGCACTGTCTGAATTCCAAAGTAGTTAAAGTACACAGAGAAATGTGTGGAATATTTGTCATTTTTTGTGAGGTAGAAAGGTTCTGGAGTCTAAGCAACGTGCCTTTTTTCCCCACAGCTTTTCAAGGTGTGAAGATGACATTGTGATTTTCTGTGAACTTTCTTGATGTCTTGGACATTCCCAGTTTCTGTTCCTTTATTCACTTTCTCATACTTACTTTCTTGCACCATCATATTGACTAATAGACCAGAACACGGCATTATAGATGTGTATGTCCTATCTACACAGGTATACATCCTCCTCCTTTTTTCCAATTAAGATGAATTGCCATTAATAAATAAGCCAGAGAAATAAATAAGGACACTATGGTACAAATTTTAAGCACTTTTATGTATTGCGGTTAGTTCTGTCTTTTTTCTGGGTTTCATCAGCTCAGCAGAATTTTAGGTGGGTTATAAATAGGTAGGATGAGACCACTTACGTACATCCAGAATAAGATGAGATTAATTTTCCAAAGAGTTAACCAGAGATAGAACAGCTTATCAAAAGCAGTGTAGTCACACAGCTGGGAATAGAAGCAGCCTGTTAGAGCTGTCCTTGATCCCTAAACTCTGATTGGGGTGTGTAGCTACTGAGATAACTCAGGCAAAGCAGCATCTTGCTGGCTCTGGGAAGCTCAAGTTTTGGAAACCTCTTGCCCTTTTATTCTTTAAGTTTTTCAGTACTAATCAAGAGGAATTTACAATGAACAGTCCATGCTGTTCCTTCGGAGAACGTCTAAGCACATGAGTTTTTGTATTCGAATTACATCCAGTGTCAGTTAGGGTAGGGCCTCTTCAGGGTGGGGGTGGTTGGGCTGAGGGTTGGGTGAGGGGATGCAGTCAGGGCCCCATGGGTGACCCTGCGAAGTCTCTTGTCTCTGCCTCCAACTTGCCGCCCCCGGATTCTGATTGACTACTTTTTTATCCGGGTGATTTTGATACTGAGCTTATCCTTGGGACCAGAGTCCCAAATCCATTCCCATGCAGGCTCTAAGAATCCTTGATGTGTGGTGAGTGTCCCTTTTTGGTTTTTTCCTGTCACATTTTTATGGTCTTATGTTTTCCTTTTTGCCCTTCATTACTGGAACTGGTGCCCTTGCCAGGTTCCTGGGTTTCCCTTTTTCTTTCCCTTTATTCAGGTGATACCTCTGGAAAATTGGAAGTCTCATTTTCTACTTCACTTAACACTTGTTCCTGTAGTGGCTGATAGAAGTTAATGTGTCTGTCTTAAGCATATATCTGATATTTTAATTTCTCAAATTTATTACCTGTCCAGAAATTGGCCTTAATTTTCAATTACGTGTATAGGTGTTTTATATTGTTCTGGTCTGATCAATATGTAGCATGGCTCTGATTTTTTTTTTTTTTTTGACACTTATGAGTGTTTTTTTGGTGGTTGTTTTTTGAGCTATGAGTTTTTAAATTATTTTAGTATACTTGAACTATTGAAAAAGTTTTATGGATTACCTACATTGTCAGGCACTCTGTTGAATACTGATGTTAAAGATTTGAATAGGACATTGTTCCTGTCATCAAGGAATTCATATTAGAGATAAATGTATAAACCAGTCATTTCAGTATTAACGCTGAGTGGTTTGCATGTGCATAGTAGTGATATGCCTGTGTGGTTGGAGAGAACATTTCAGCCCAGCCTCTGCAGGTTCAGAGAAGGCTCAGAACTGTTTCATTCTGCTCTTGTAGACACCTTCCAGCACATTATTCTAATTTAAGATGCCAACACTAGAAGATTTTAATAACTTGTTCATTTTCCTAGATAAATAACATGTTGTCAATGGTAAGAATTGCACCTGGATGTATTTGCTTAGGAATATGTAATGCAGCATTTGGGGTGTACTGGGAATAGTGTTGGCAAGAAATGAGGAACTCAAACCTACGTATTTAAAAAGCAACAGGAAAACCAGAATGACTTGGAAGAGCTCATCTTAATGATTTTCTAAGTGTTTTTTATTTTTTAAAATGTTTTTTATTTTTTCATTATAGTAAAATATTTTAATAACTTTAAGTGTGTAGTTCAGTGGCATTATTCACATTGTTGTCCAACTGTTACTACCATCCATCTCCAGAACTTTGTCTTTTTCCCAGATTGTAACTCTGTACTCATTGAACCATAACTCTTCACTCTCTCCCCAACCCCTAGCAACCACTGTTCTGTTTTTTGCCTTCTTATATTTGACATCGTGGAGTTCTTTTCATTATATTATTTTGTAAGAATCATTTTGAAGGAAAAAAAAATGCATGCTGTATTTCTTTTTTGGAGGGGTTTATTTCTTTTATTTATTTTTAAAATTATTTTTATTAACATGTAATGTATTATTTGCCCCAGGGATACAGGTCTGTGAATCATCAGGCTTGCACATTTCACAGCACTCACCATATCACATACTCTTCACAGTGTCCATCACCCAACCACCCTCTCCCTACCCTCCCATCCCCCAGCAGCCCTCAGTTTGTTTTGTGAGATTAAGAGTTTCTTATGGTTTGTCTCCCTCCCGATCCCATCTTGTGCATGCTGTATTTCTGATACTTTCATCTTATTAGCATATTTGATGATCAGTTTATATGAAACTTTTACTTCCATAGTGTAGAAGTCATTCAGCATTTGATTTATTTGATCATTACTTTTATAATCCACAAAGTGCACATCTCTTTCAAATTGTTGCACAGATTTTAGCTATAATTTTACATACAATTAACACTGTGTTTCGTGGTCATTAAAATATTATCACAAGAGTTCAGTTGTAATTTTTGCATAATTTAAGTGAGGGACCTAATTTGGGAACAAAGTCTAATGTATACCAATATTTCTTACTCTACAGGAAAATCATATTGTTGGAAATTATGTTTTACTGGGATTTTATACATTTTAAAAATCACATTTTATATTTATCAGTGGGGTTTGTAGTGTATCAATATTTTCTGTCCATTAGTGTTTCCTGCTGAAACATCTTGATTTTTCTTTTGTGTATCTTGTTTTTAAGAGACTGTTTACTAAAAGAGTAATAAATTGAATTAAAAGAATTTTTAATTCGCTTTTGGAAAAAATTTCCTTATATCTTATTTGGTACCAGAAAGTATATAATGAGGTTAAGCTACCAGTTTATAACTTTTGAGTTTATAAAACTTTGAATTCAGACATGACTAATTTTGTCAGAACTTTTATTTTTCTCATGTGTAACTTCTGTCATTTTTAGGCAAAATGTTTCATGGATTTCAAAGCTGGAGGCACCTTGTGTCACATTCTTGGGGCTGCTTACAAGTATAAAAATGAACAGGGATGGTAAGTTTTCGTGTTTATTTGTATGTCTTGATGTGATATTTAAATTATTTAATGTTAAATCATCTGCCTTCTTTGTATAGTGTTAGAGAATTTTAAAAGCACATTATAATTAATGTGCAAAGTGGAAACTTTGTTTGGTTTTCTGGTTTACTTTGTACCTACATCCAGGAGAAATCTTGAACAATTTTTCCATTTATTAGGCAAATTACTTCTCAGTAGTTGTGTCTAGATAATGTGTGTATCTAGATGAGTGTGTATTCTTAGCAAATTAGAAGGTTGGCTCACTGTGAAATATATAAATGGGTATTGTGAACTTAACGTTGTGCTAAAAAACAGCAGTTCAAGTGTTTTCGTGAGCCAGGCCTTCAGAATGAGAGATGTCTAGTGTGCTGTCCTCGGGACACAGACGAGAGGATCCCAGCTCAGGAGTGCAGACATTCCTCCGGCAGTGGTGCAGCTAGGAGAGAGTCATTGCTGCTGTTCTTGGAGTGTTGCATTTTCCCTTCACTCTCCTCTTTCCCTTTTCTCACCCTGTCTCTCTTGGTGCTTTATCTCTTGAGCTCTGGGGTTTCTGCCACCTCTGTGTGGGACGTTTAGCTGCTGAGACTAGTGGGGGTTTCATGGTGATGGTTCCAAAGTTCAGGGAGGGCGGGGAGTCCCTTCACAGGCAGGGGGCTGAAGGGGGTGCTGGGGGGAATTGACTTGAAGTCGTTTTGAGGTTTTAGTTGTGTTTATGTGAAGTGCAGTCTTGGCATCTTTCTAGGAGAATACGCATGTAATTTGGGTAGTTTAAAATATGGCTGGAAAAGGCAAGTAAGTGCTCACATTGATAAATAGGACAAGTTTGTAAGTAAATGATTTATTTATAGTGAATAGCAAGTGATACAGACTTTGTGTATTTGCTGAACTTTTTATGTGTGGGTGTGTGCTTAATAGATAGCGGATAATTGATGCAGTGAGCACAAGAGTGTTGTCACCAGATGTGGCTGCTGTTTTGCACCTCTGCTTCTGGCTGTGGTGTCGGAACTCTTCCAGGGTGTTCCGTGAGCTAGGATTGACAGCATGGCTAACTACTCTCGGATATGATTTGTACCCTACTGTTAGCTCTCGATTCCCACATGGGACTCTCTTATTTTCTTGTTCATTTTGTGTCCTAAATCCCGAGGTGTACTTGAGGACAGTCTCAAAGTGAGATGACTTCTAAGTCACCTCTTCTGGAACTTGCTTGTTCTGGAACATGCACCAGTGCAATGGAATATTTTTAGGTGAAAGAGTTTAGAAGGATATGTAAAGTAAGATGTCTTTAAATTAAAAGGGAGGCCAAGAAAGAAATAAAGGTTAAAGTTGAAGACTTTAAGAGGAGTGGGGAGTAAGAATTTTTCCAAGTCTTGGGGCACCTGGGTGGCTCAGTGGGTTAAGTGTGCCTTTGGCTCAGGTCATGGTCCTAGGGTCTTGGGATCAAGTCTCACATTGGCTCTCTGCTCAGCGGGGAGCCTGCTTCTCCCTCTATTTCTGCCTGCCTCTCTGCTTGTGATCTCTCTATCTCTGTCAAATAAATAAATAAAATCTTAGAGAAAAAAAAAAAAGAATTTTTCCAAGTCTTTTACTCACTGTACCAGAATCCTCCCCTTTCTGGTGTCATTAGACACTTAGTTGTCGTGCACACTCACCCCTCCCCCAGACTTACATGCTTGCAGGGAGTGGATCACTTACAGTCTGACCGTGCATATTTTAGTGACCACCCACCCATTTGGAAGTCTGAATAGTGGCCTGTTATCTTGACAGTGCCTCCAGCTTTCCCCAGGCCCAGCATACCCCTGTGAACCTTGTTTGTGTTCTCCAGTTAACCTCACAGTCTATCTCCAAAGTTTGCTCATTTCCTTCTCTAATGGCCAAATGTTCTCTTTTTCTCTTGTTTCTGTTTGGTTCTTTCTTACTTCCTGCTTTCTTTCTTCCTGCTTTCTTTCAGCTTTCAGTGATGTCAAGCTGGCTTATCACTTATGAGGTTAAGTGGGAACACTGAACAGACAATATAGATTAAGATTCCAGAGTGTTTGAATGTGATCTTTCTGCATGTCTCTAAATAGTCAGAAGTGAGTGCCTTATTTGTAGGTTTATGTTAAAGGAGAAAGCTTTGGGCTAATGTTATATATAACTGAGGGATACCAAACTGGGGGATTTTGACATCCTATGGAAATCTGATAACATTTCCTGAAGTAGAGATTAAATACAGCCAAACTCAACTCAGTAAATGTCAGTGTCCTCCTGCAGAGAGATTAGAATCCTGTTTATTCTTAGAGTTCTGTACACATTACTGTGCATTGTAATCCTGTTTCATGCCTTTTAAAGAGATGATTGATTGAAAATATTTTGTGTTTTATTAGTTTTGGTTGACAGTGGTGAATCTAGGCTTAGTTAACAAAGTTCAGGATTTGTCTTAATGTGAGAAGTGGCCTTTTATTTTTACCTGTGACACAATTTGCTGCCAACATTTATTTCTTGCAGATATGCTCAGACCTACTTTTTTTTCTACTTTTATTCCCTGCCTTCGAAGTCTCCTTCTGATTTTCATTTTTTAGATATTACCACAGTAAGTCTCGGGTAACGGCTTTCAAACTTTAGGATCACTTGAATCTCTTGGAATACTTCTTTTTTTTTTTTTTTTTAAGATCTTATTTATTTATTTGACAGAGAGATAGCCAGTGAGCCCAAGTGGGGAGGGTGGGGGATGGCAGAGGAAAGAGGAAGGAGCAGGGAGCCCGTTGTGGGACTCCATCCCAGGATCCTGGGATTATGACCTGAGTTGAAGGCAGGCCCTTAACTGATCTGGATCACCCAGATGCCCCCACTTGAAATACTTTTAAAAATATAGATTACTGGGCTTCATGGACATACGTTATTAACTATTAAGTGTAGTATGAAAACCAAAAATCTGTATTTTCAAAAAGTACTCTAAATGGTTGTCAGGCCTTACTTTGAGAAATGCTGGGTAGTGAGGCTGTCATTCTAGCACAAACATGGTTTAGATCTTTTTTTTTTTTTTAAAGATTTTATTTATTTATTTGACACACAGAGATCACAAGTAGGCAGAGAGAGAGGGGGAAGCAGGCTCCCTGCTGAGCAGAGAGCCCGATGCGGGGCTCGATCCCAGGACCCTGAGACCAGGACTCTGAGACCCAGGACCCAAGCGGAAGGCAGAGGTTTAACCCACTGAGCCACCCAGGCTGAAGAATTATCCTTTTTATAGCATATTTTAAAACGGCCATCTAGCTTTTAAATTTTTAAAAAATAATATAGCAAGAATCCAGACCACCTTAATTATCCCCAAAGTCACATTCCTAGCAGGATATGATTTGTTGTCTGCTTCTACGTAGTAGACCTCCCTCCCTGCATATATGCCTACCTGTTTCAGGCTATTTTATCTGTAGGATATTTGCCACCCTTTTGGAGCATGGCGTACAGGACCATCTTTCTGTTGCTGGTCTCCATGGTTTTGTAGCTTGCCATTATTATAAGCCCCCTTATGCTTGAGGCCAACTTCCCACAAAACTGTTCTGCTATACCGTTGTCTGCTTTTCGCCATGCTCCCAGCTCAGTGCATTTTTGTCTTTTCCTTTCCAAGTTTGCTCCTGAAGCCCTTCACACCACTTTCCAAGGAATTAAACTCATTCTCCAGGATCCTTTGTTGATTATTTTTATTCAACTATATTTTCTGTCTGAGGCTGAGGATGAGGAGAGAACATCCCTAATGATAAGCAAGAGGCACAGAATTGGAGCAATAAAGCTAATGAGGGCCCTTTTGACAGACAGTATTGCCTTTGATTGAAAGGCTGCCATGAGACATTGCCTGGCAGATTGCCGGAGGGAAACAAAGCAGAAGACTCATAATTAATTAGTAAGCCGTCAATGAAGTGCTCATATTTACATTTTAAATGACCAAACGTTGTAAAAGCTAGAGAATTACATGTTCATGTGTTGTCTCTTCTAGTTCTCTGCATTAAGATTCAAAGGCTTTATAATTTTAGTTTTAATTTGCATTTCCCTTATGTGTAGGTTTGAGCAATTTTCTATATTGTATAAAGTAAAATTTAAATACTCTTGGTAATTTCAAAATAAGAGATTAAATCTTTCAACTAGAGGTTATACTATATTTACTTGAGTTTATTTCAGTTTTTCTTTTTCAAGATTTTTAAATTAATTAATTAATTAATTTAGAGCACGAGTGGGGGAGGGGCAAAAGGAGAGGGAGAGACCAACTCTCAGGCAGAACCTGACCCTTGCTTTCCTGACCCTGAGATCACCATCTCAGCTGAAACCAAGAGTCAGACGCTTAACTGACTGAGCCACCCAGGTGCCCCGTTTCAGTTTTTCACAATATCTGTATATTTTAAATACTTTTTTTGCTTACATAGCATATTGCTGAATCAGGAAAAAGCTTTACTCTGTTGTGTTATTAAATCATTGGTAAACCATTTTAGTTTATTATGGAAAATAGAAACTATAAAAGAGAGAATAATATAATGAACTGCCATTTACCTTCATGCACCTTCAACTTTATGTAATTTCATTTGTAAATATTCACTGTTTGTTTCTAAAAGCATAGGATTTTGCGGGGGATTTTGAGGGGAAGAGGGGGAGAGATAGAGAATTCTAAGGGATGCAGGGTTTGATCTTTACAACCCTGAGATCATGATCTGAGCTGAAATCAGTAGTTGAACATGTAACCAACTGAGCCATCTAGGTGCCTCATGGGATTTTTTTTTAGGTAATCTCTGTGCCCAGGATGGGGTTCTGAGATCAAGAGTTGCATGCTCTACCGACGGAGCCGGCCAGGTGCGGCTAAAGAGCTTAGGTCTTTGTATACATTCATTCATTCATTTATTTATTTATTATATGCAGGCTGCATGCCAGGTGTGGAGCTCAACTTGGGGCTTGAACACGACTCTGAGTCAAGACCTGAGCTGAGATCCAGACAGTCAGGCACCTGACTGACTGAGCCAGCAAGGCGCCCTGGAATAGGATTTTTTTTTTTTTTTTAAGACTTTATTTATTTATTTGACAGAGATCACAAGTAGGCAGAGAGGCAGGCAGAGAGAGAGAGAGAGAGAGCAAGGGAAACAGGCTCCCTGCTGAGCAGAGAGCCCGATGCGCGCCTCGATCCCAGGACCCTGGGATCATGACCTGAGCCGAAAGCAGAGGCTTTAACCCACTGAGCCACCCAGGCACCCTGGAATAGGATTTTTTATAAAGCATTATAACAGTGCCATTGTCACAACTAAGAAAATTATCAATAATTTTTCAGTGTTATTAAATACCCGCTTAGTGTTCAAGCTTCCCTGATTATTTCATGGATGGTTTTTATGTTAATTCATATTTTTATATTAACATATTTTTTATTAATTTATATTAATAAGTATTCAAAGAAGAGTCATACATGACATTTGGTTGATGTGTCTTTTTCAGGAAATTGGGGCACCCAGGTGGGTTAATAGGTTAAGATTCCAGCTCTTGATTTTGGCTCAGGTCATGATCTCAGGGTTATGAGATCATGGAGCCTGCTTTAGATTCTCTCCCCCTTTCTCCTTGCCCCTCTCCCCCCTTAAAAAATAAAAAGAAAATTAATAGTTTTCCTCCTGGTCTCTCTTTCCCCTCTTATCCTTGCCAGTTATTTTTTTTACAAAAGTAAGTTGTCTTGTAGACTTCTGTGTTCTAGATTTTGCTAATATGTTCCGTAGGATATCGTTTAACATAGTCTTCTAAATTTCTAGTAAAGCGGAGTTAGATGCTTAGTCTGATTCAGCTTTTTTTTGTGGGGGGGGTCAGTAGTGCTTAATAGACAGTGTTGTGTTCTTTCCTCTGGAGGCATGGAGGCATGCAGTATCTGGTTGTTTCTGCTTGTAATAGACTGTTGTTGATGTTCAGTGCCTCGAATCATGCTATCATTACAGCTTCACCAAGCTGTAGCATTTAAATTTTGAAAAAATTAGAAAGTAGGTTTTCTAATACATAGATTTAAGTGCTTACTGTTTTTTAGGTAATTTGTTGTAAAAGACTATTACTCTGTCTTTCCTACTTCATTTATTAGCTGGAATACTGAGAAATTTAACTCACCAGTAATTAGAAAGGCAGAGTAAATTCTTAATTTTCTTTTTCTGTTTACCAGAATCATTTAGCTCTTAGTCTTTGTTTGCAGGTAAATCCAGGCAACCTTATTTTAATTTGTTTAATGAGTACTTTCAAACTATTTCTCAGATTTCTGAGAGTGATAATTCCTTTCAGCCTCATCTGAATCATTTACTAAGGAAGCAGTTTATCTGTGAATAATATGAGTAAAGGCTTATACAAGCAATTCTGAAGTAAGACATTTCTGGATATAGTTCGTTGTCAGAAGTCTGTGAAAGACTGACCTCTTCTTTAGAAAGGGGAGACACTCAGGTTTCTCTCCCTGTGTTGTGCTGAAAGAACCAGTGGAAGTCCCTTTGCTCTAATAGGGTTGTGTCAGTCAGTCACGTGTTATTCTGTTGTTGCAAATTGCTTGGCATTTCTGACCTACTCCTTCCTTATTAGGAAGATACTAAACAACCAAAAAAATGGGACTTAAGGATTAAGTTCTGTGTACCAAGATTAAATCAAGATATTGATTTAATTGACTTGGGACAAAGGTCCCTCTTACATGTAAAGGCCATTTTTAAAGCTATAACTAGTTCTTTTACAAATTACTTATTTCTGTGGCTTAGTGGACGCTTTCCTTAATTTCCAAATTGGAGCTTAGTCAAAATAAATATTAATTTCCTGAGTGGTGTGCTTTATAAAGCCACACTTTTTTTTTTTTTTTTTTAAGATCTATGTGAGGAGGGGCAGAGGGAGAGGGTGGGAGAAAGAAGAATCTTAAGCAGGCTCCATGCTTAGAACAGAGCTTGACACAGAGCTCAATCTAATGACCTTGAGCTCATGACTTGAGCTGAAATCAAGGGTTGGTTGTTTAACTGGCTGAGCCACCCAGGTGTCCCTAAAGCCACACATTCTGCTGGCTACTGGGGCTGAATGGAATAGTTTTAAACAAACCTGGTCTTTGCCCTCAAGGCATCTAATGAGCTGTCTTAGCAACAACATGATTCTTTTGTGGGGCTTTAACAGCAGTGTGCACTGGATGTATTAGGAGCATGGCAGAAGACAGGAATAGCTTCATAGGGAACATGGCTTGTGGCAGACCCTGGAGGCGATAGTATCAAGCCCACAGTAGTGACATACAGGAAAGGCTGCAGAGTTTGGAAGAACGGTTGGAAGTGTGGGGTGCATCTCCTGGTTAGATAAAACAGGTTAACCTGAGAGGTAGAGCATGAGCTCTGCGTTCAGACTGCCTAATCCTAGCTAGCACATAGTAGTAATGATTTAAAAACATAACCATAGGGGCACCTCGGTGGCTCAGTTGGTTAAGCAGCTGACTCTTGATTTTGGCTCAGGTCATGATCACAGGGTCCTGGGCCTGAGCCCTGTGTCAAGCTCTGCACTCAGTGGGGAATCTGTTGGAGAATTCTTTCACTCTTTCCCTCTCACTCTGCCCCTCCCCTTGCTCTCTTTCTCAAAATGAATACATCTTTAAAAAAAAACAAACCCAAAACCAAAACAAAGTGTTATAACCATAGTTAACAATTACTGATCACTTACAGGCTAAACAGACCGTAAAAAGACGTGGTCTTAAGCCCTTAACATATATATCTCATTTGACCTTCACAAAAACCTGTAATGGGCCATTGTTCACGAAGAAATTGATCCTTGGATTAGTAAATCACTCCAGACTACATAAATAAAAATGGGGTCAGGATTAGAACCCAGAACAGCTTGACTCCACAGCCCACACTCTCTATTACTGAGCTTATACTTTGCCTGGAATTAAAATGGGGCAAAATCAAAGTAAGTGTTGAATAAAAGATATGGTGAAAGTAGCATTCAAATTTTTTAAGATTAAAGCATATGGAAGTGGGTGAGATTAGACAGACAACATTAGAATGTTATGCTTGGATACTTACATAAAAAAACATTGGGGAGCAAGAAAAGGTAAATAGATGAATTTACCAGATTTAGGACAATAGTAGGCCCAAGGAGAGCACAGACACTGATGAATTTGAGCAAATGACTTTTAAGCATATAGAAACTAGATAAATTTTCCTTATACCTGAAGAACGGTATAATAGTTCACTGCCTTTGGATGTGTGGACTCCTTTTCTAGATGATGTAAAATATCTTAGACTTAAGAAAAACAGGATACTTCATGGAATGGGTTCTTCATTTTTTTTTTTTTTTAAGATTTTATTTATTTGACAGAGATCACAAGTAGGAAGAGAAGCAGGTGGTGGGGGTGGGGGTAGCGGGCTCCCCGCGGAGCAGAGAGCCTGATGCGGGGCTTGATCCCAGGACCCTGGGATCATGACCCGAGCCGAAAGCAGAGGCTTTAACCCACTGAGCCACCCAGGCGCCCCCGGGGTTCTTCATTTTGACTGGAGTGGACTTTAATGTCATAATATTTAACGTTTTATGAAGATTTTGACACTGTTTTCTTACACTGAGAAAATACCCTCATATGTTTTATAGAGCTCTATTTTAATTTCCACGTCTTTACAGTTCATTTGCGTTGAGTGCTAACACTAAGTTTTCACAAATTAACTAATGATTTTCTTCTCTTTAGGCGTAGGTTTGATCTACAGAATCCATCCCGAATGGATCGGAATGTTGAAATGTTTATGAACATTGAGAAAACGTTGGTGCAGGTAACTCAGAAAGTTTAATTATTAAAAATGTTTTCCCTTTAATATACTTTCAGTTCTAAAATTGGCTTTATTGGACTGCCAAAAGATCAAAGGAAGAAAGATTTTCTGAAATCTGGTCTGTTATTTTTAAGGGTTTTGGGGAATTAGAGCTATAAAGTAAGACTAAAACTTGTCATTTATAGAATATTGATCCTAAACGTCTTGTGAAATAATCTATGATATTTCCTTTATTTTGATACTTATAGAGAGAGAGAGGGTGAGAGGAAGGGGCAGAGGGATAGGGAGAGAATCTTAACAGAGAATCTTACAGGGCTCGATCTCATGACCTGAGCCAAAATTAAGAGTCAAATGATAAACTGAGCCACCCAGATGCCCTGATATTTTCTTTTTTTATTTCACTTAATCCGTTATTTGAATCTCTTTCATATTTAATATAAACACTCTCAATCTACTGGTTACTCATTTATATAGTCTTTTTTTTTTTTTTTTTTTAAGATTTGTTTCAGGGTTGTACCATAAATACAGATCTTACTTCCCTAACTAGGTATAATCTGGAAGAGAGAACACTTAGTATTCTTCTTTTCTTTGTAGTATTTTTATTGATTGGTAATTTTTAATGATTACTGAATTAGCCTTCTTGGGGAGAGGCAGCTGGCAAAGATTCAGGTAGGTATTATCATTAACTTGATGCCTGAAATTTGTCTCATGAACTGCTAGCTAGAGAAACAATTTTTGTGGTTGGTTCACTGATTTTTTTTAATGATGATTTGAGGAGTTAATATGCATGTTTTAATCATTGTTATTTGTAAGTTTAGAAATGGGAAGAGGAGCTATAAGTAACTTATATAATGAGCCAAAATGGGCATTCCCCTGGGATCCTCTCCCCTCCCCACCCAATAAAATGTGTCGATGGAAACACTACATTAGATTTGGACTATTAAGGTCAATTCAGGTAAGATTGGCTGTAGAAGTATCAATATGTGAGTGTGGTACCTTAATGAAAAATACAAGGAATTTCTTTAGGTTGTGATTCTGAACATTTTTTGCCCAGGTGTACTTAGCTGCAGAGAAGGAATCTGAGGATGACGTTAAGTGGCGTTCTGAACACCTAGGTTTTATATTGAAATGAGCCCTCTGCAGTCTATACTAAAAAACATCTTCCCATTTTAAACACTATGGCTTTTAATGTCAACTTTGGCCATTAGGGTAATTCATTAATAATGTGACATCATTTCAAAACCAAGAGAATTTCAAAATCTGTTTTTTCTTCCTTAGAACAATTGTCTGACCAGACCCAACATCTACCTCATTCCAGACATTGATCTGAAGTTGGCTAACAAATTGAAGGATATTATCAAACGACATCAGGTAATAAACATGATCACTTCAGAAAATTGTATAGTAGTAAACTTATAAATTTCAGTAATAATTGTCTTTTATTTTCTGTATTTATCTGCATTAAATGAAAGTTCTCTCTTTTTGGGTTCTTACAGTACCAAGTTTTTTCTCTCCACTCACCTCCAGTTCTTATCCTAGAAGCATTTTTCTTCCCCCTTAGCTTTGTTGAGATATAATTGACACCTAACACTGTGTAAGTTTAAGGTGTACAGTATAGTGATTTGATGCACATATGTATCCAAAATTAGCATTTAATAATCATTGGTATGGAGTCATTGAGTCCTATTGTGAAATATGCTTATGTAATTTATTTATTTTTTTTTAAAGATTTATTTAATTTTATTTTAAAAAATTATTTTTAAAGATTTTGTTTATTTGAGAGAGGAGAGGAGAGAATGAGCATGAGTATGGGCGAGCAGCAGAGGGTGAGGGAGAAGCAGATTCCCCGCTGAGCAAGGAGCCGGACGTGGGACTCGATCCCAGGACCCCGAGATCATGACCCGAGCTGAAGGCAGACACTTAACTGACTGAGCCACCCAGGCGCCCCTAGATTTATTTCTTTGAGAGAGAGAGAACAAGTGCATGAGTGAATGCAGGCTGCAGGGGCAGAGAGAGAGGGAGAGAGAATTGCAGGCAGACTCCCTGCTGTGTGCAGACCCGATAAGACCCTGAGATCAGGACCTTAGCTAAAATCAAGAGTTGGATGCCTGATGGACTGAGCCATCCAGGGGCCCCTGGGTTTATGTAATTTAAGGAGACCATGTGATCTATATTACTCTAACCACAGAGTCAAAGTAGAAGTTGATGACACAGTTGTTGGTAAGAGGAGATCAAATATTATTTCAAGTAAACCTATCTTTCCTCACCCCCGCCATCCCATTGGTATGTATTGTATTTACATTTGTGGACTGGAAAATTCTGTTTTCCCGATACGCTTATATTCTCTTGATTCACATGTGCCAGTGCTATCTTCGGGTGTCTTTCCCTCCCTCCTCTAACTTCATTTTAGGCGGAGACTTTGGGTATTTACTGCATGTAGGTTAGTGGCTACCTGTGGCTGAACTATAAGCAACCCCGTATCATGGTGAACTAGCTGAGGAGACCCAGGTAGAAGATAATTTTCTGAAACAAGGTCATTTGAGTGACAAAGTTTTACTAATCCTTAGGATTAGTTGAGAAACCTCCTGAGATACCTTTATTTTTTCTTCTGCAGGAGAGATTGCCAGTTGTGTTATGTTTCAGTAATCAGTAAATATCGTTCAGGTTCCTAAAGCAAGGATTTCTAATACCGTTTACATTTGGAGATTTAGTAGTGTCGTCTTACAAGCAACATCCCTACCAAAGAGAAAAATGAGATGATTGTGCTATCGAGTCAGGCAGTCTCAAGTCCACTTCCTCGTCCCACCAGGATTTTGACTTTGAACCAGTCACTTAACTTTCTTTTCTCTTCGGGACTGCTTACTGGAGTGGCTGTCAAGTGTAGTTTAATTATATCTAGAATGTTAGAAGGCAGAGACAGAACAATTTAACCTGCTGGGTATTACCTTCAAGCTGAAATTATCTACTCTTATTGCTACCATATTAATCCTGGAAAAAGCTTATATATTTTCCACAATTGATACCGAGCATTTAGTTCCCATTTTTCTTAAAGGCCTGGCTTAGCGATTGTATTCTAGGAATAACCTCTAAAGGGACGTAAGGATCTTCCTGGTTTCATAGGCTCTTAGGGAAGAGACAGTAAGCTAATGATATTATTGAATACTGAGGATTAGGCCTTTCCTCAAACATTTAAAATGCATTAATAACTCCAGTGTTTGAGTACTCAGAGTGTACCTGTCCCTATCATTACCTCATTGCTAAATTGTTATAATTCTTGTGAAATAGGTATTATTACCACCCTATTTCACAAAAGACACCGAAGCACAAAAAACACTTAGATACTTACATCACCCAAGTCGTAAATGGTAGAGCTGAAGTTCAGATCCAGGCCTAACGGACTCCAGAGGCCAAAATCACAGACATTTTGTTCCTCTGACATCCCTTTTTCAGCGTCTTTTGTGGTTGTTCAGAAGTGTGCCCAAATACTTGAAATGATTGAGAATGCCTTGCTTTATTGTAACTAATTCATCTTAGAGAGTCCTAGATTTTAGAATTTTAGAATTTCTCTTCAGTTAGAAATAGCATTGTGTTTTTCTGATTGTAATAATTAGTAAATACTCACTGTCAAAGATAAAATTCAGGAAATACATTAAAATGCTGCTTATACCTGATTTTAAGACACATACACACAAAAAGACTTGTCCTCATTCTTATGATCTCTGGAATGAACACTTTTATATCTAAATAGCTTCCAAGTAGGGGCGCTTTGGTGGCTCAGTTGGTCAAGTGCCTGACTCTTGATTTGGGCTTGGGTCATGATCTTGGGATCTTGGGATTGAGCCCTGTGTCGAGCTCTACACTCAGCACAGAGTCCAGTTGCCCCTTTCCCTCCCTCATCTTGTGCGTTCTCCCTGTCTCAAATAAAGAAGTAAATAAAATAAAAAAAGGCTTCCAAGTCATATTCTAGATTGTATGCAGTAGTCTAGCTGAGGCCTAGCTAGACCTTAACCTTAGTATTTATGTCATCCACTATTCTAACATTGACTTAAAAAACAGTAGTGTACATACATGTTAGAGCCAAGTGAAATGTCCATCTTATATGTATATAACTGTAAGTTATGGCTCATGGTCATAGTCTTGCATTATTCAGATAATTCTGATGATTTTGGAGTAACTTTTAGATTTAGAAAGACTCGTACTACAGACAAAGTTTCCTAGAGAGATACACAGAGAATTAGGTAAGAAGTACTTGCATTATTTTTCTATACAACAATATAAACTGTGTCTATAGAAAATTTACATGTTTTTATTTGTTCTTGTTAATAATTGTTTTCTTTGACTAAAAATAAAAATATTATAGTCTTGATATATATGTGTGTGTGTATATATATATGTATAACATAATAAATAAAGTAATGCCTTTATGATTCTTAGGCAATTTGCATCTGGCATTGCATAGTCTGTTTGCCATGTGCTTTCCCCTTATGTTGTTCATTTGCTTTCCAGGGGACTTTTACTGATGAGAAGTCAAAAGCTTCCCACCACATTTATCCATATCCTTCCTCACAAGAGGATGGTAAGTTAATTTCTGGTTATGAACTCCTACTTCACTAGGTTTTAAGTTTTATCAGAGATTTAAACAATATTACTAGCTTTTTGAAAAAGAGACTTTTAAGTATTAAATAACTTGCACAGATTATTTAAATGTAGTTTTCTATTTTTTTGCTGAATTGCTCTAAGCAAACTAATTCTTTGATATCCAACTTTCTGATCATTGGACTTTTTATATCTTTCTTTGTTATTATCTGGGTGTTAAGTTTAGGTGTGCCTTATGTATTAACTTTGTTAATGTTTGCTATGTTGTTTGTGTTCTGAAAATTAAAAGACCTTGCAAAATGAAAGAACATTTCTGGGGAAGATGGGCTTATTGGCTGTCTGAATGGGGCCCCTCAGCAATATTTTAGTTTGGTGAATTTATAATGGTTCAGATTCTGAACTTCAGCTTTTCTATCCTGCAGGTTGATTTTCTCAGTGGCCAGAGTTCGATAGGGCTATGGAAACTGATTTGTTGAGAAAGAAAATATGAATTAATAAATTAACCAGATTAATTTGAGAAATAGGACTTCTTTAGGGGATCAAGTCTTCTGGTTAACATATCCCTTTAGGACATCTGTATAAGAAGCTAAGTTATATCAGATTTGAGTTGCTAATTACCCCATGCTGAGTATTTTTTCTGACCAGTGCAGTTATGCTGGAAGTCAGTGACAACAAGATTACCAGACAGTCCCTGTATGTTTGAAAATTAAGAAATATATTGCCAAGTAATCTATGGGTCAAAGAAGAAATTACAATGGAAATAGAAAATCTTTGTAACTAAATAATTTATGAAATGATTGATAAAGTACAAGAATGTTAAATTTTGTTGGCTACAGCTGAAGCTCTGCCCAGAGGAAAATTTGTATCTTTAAAGTGTATGTTAGGAAAGAAGAAAGTCTGAAAAATCAGTGATTCACACATCTTTCTCAAGAGATGGGAAAAAGAACAGCAAATTAAACCTAAGGAAAGAAGGAAATAATTAAGGGTAGAAATTAATGATGTGGAAAATATATAGGAGCAAAGTGCTCAGCAGTGTTAGAAATGGTTCTCAGGAGGGGCAGCCTGGGTGGCTCAGTGGGTTAAGCCTCTGCCTTCGGCTCAGGTCATGATCTCAGGGTCCTGGGATTGAGCCCCACGTTGGGCTCTCTGCGCAGCGGAGAGCCTACTCCCCCCCCCCCACCCCCCACCGCCTACTTATGATCTCTCTCTCTGTCAAATAAAAAAAAAAAAAAAAAAAGAAATGGTTCTCAGGAAAGGTCAGTAAGGCTATTTAAATCGTGCTGCAAATAAGCAGGAGAAAAAGAAAGAACAAATAATATCAGGAATGGAAGAGGGACGTTGTACGAATCCTACAGATGTTGAAAATAATTGATAGGTGAGGTTGCTTGATTGCTTGTGCATGGTGGCAAATCTAAGAAACCATTGCCTTATCCAGAGTCATCAAGTTTTACAACCCAACTCTTCTAAGAGTTTTACAGCTTTAGCTGTTACATTTAGGTTTTTTCATCATTAGGTTTGATAGGTAAAAGTTTTATTTTATTTGTTACAGTCAAAAATCACAGCTCTGTGATTATTACGCTTTTATAAAGTGAGAAACTTCACCCTGCCTTTAGTGTTTAACTGGTTGTTTCTCAGCCTTTTTCCTGTTAGGTAATAGCAACTCGTGTCCACTAGGTGGGGGTGGTGGATAGCTATGATGTTAGAATACTTTAGAATTAGTTAGAATACTTTTGTTGCGGGCTCTGTTTCTCTAATAAGTGTTTCAGCATGTGAGCTTTTTGAGAAAAATTGCCTTTTACAAAAGATTTTAACTGTAATTGTTACATCTGGCTATTTAGTGATTCCTTAGTGGTGCTAGTTTTTCTATTTTAATACAACCTAGTTCACTGCGTATTGATGATGCTTGCTTGGTATTATCAGTAGTCAAAGCAGCTGTTAGGAGATAGCATTTGGAGGCTGTTTTTGAAATATAAGACATGATTTGGCACACTGTGCAATTTACCTTTGGAATAACTGTCAGGTAAATGTTGACTCTCAGCAAAGCCTTGTGCTGGGCTCCTTACAAGTACTTGTTTTCAGGTAAGTGTGCAGATGATAACAGTACCAGCCACAAACACATTAGAAGCCGTATCATGAAACCCTTAAAAAGGCAGTATACATACTTTAATGAGGATTAGTCAAAATTTAAAGTAAAAGGTGGTATTTAATTGGCCTTAATCTCTTGGTGAGATTTGGGTGAGATGCTGGAAGGGAGTTGTTATTGTTGTTATTGTTAAGCGAAAGCATAGAGGTAATAAATTACGAACTTTGAGGGAAAGGAAATGGCAAAGTTTGGCTTTATATCTCAGTGTAATGGGAGAGAAGAGTAGGTAGGTGAGAGGACAAAGCTCTAGTGTAGAGTGTAGCGTAGAGTTTTGTTTTATTAGGTGGATGAGGGCGAGGGTAGATAATATTGATGATTTTGGTGGAGAGAAATGTGCAACTGTGGTTGTATTAGGAAAATTTCCTGGGAGCTGATTTCTGGAGTGTATTATCTAAGGAGACTGGTCAGAGAGCAAGACCTTTGGGACACTCCGAGTTAAATTGCTGAGTGAGGGAAAATTGTGTCATTGGATGAGATAAATACATTTATTAGGAGAGGATAGGGAATTTGATGGCAAGCCAAGGATGGTCCGTATCTTAAAAGTCATGGGAATATAAGGAAAGCATTTTAAAATGCAGGAGGTTGACAATGGAACTGTCCAACAAAGAAATAAAAGTGAGGCCTGAGACAAGGGTTTTGGATTTGTCAGTAAGGAAATAATTGGTAACCTTTGAGAATGAAGTTTTGGTAACTTGCCAGTGAGAGTAAGCTGTAGAGTTGGTGGAAGGTCACCAATTTCTTAGAATGTGTGACAGGGAAAAGAAAGTAGAGGATGCCACCTAGCAGGTGGCCTGCCTTTATCTTTCAAGATTTGGCTTTATAGTTTATTTCTGGGGTAGAACAAAAGTAAACTGAAGCACATAATAATAGAGTTGAAACCTAGAAGGGATAGAAGGATTGGTTTAGGAATATGGGTTGAATTACTGGTTTTAGCAGAAAGAATATTTCCTTAGAGATGAAAATAAATGAAAATTTTTGAAAAATTGAGATACTTATCAGAAGAGGAATCTACATCTTAACTCAGAACATTTATTTAGATGAGTGGATTTGTCCCTTAGGTTTCCTTATCTTTATTCTTGTAGTTCATGACTTGAGAATTTCAAATGTTCCATCTTTGAGTTTTCAGATCTTTCTTCGGGTTGGTCCAATCTAATGTTGTATCCTCTAGTGGAATTTTCAATTCAGATACTCTATTCTTTAACTCCAGAATTTTTTTTTTTTTAAGATTTTATTTTTATTTATTTGACAGAGACACAGCAGGAGAGGGAACACAAGCTGGGGGAGTTGGGAGAGTGAGAAGCAGCCTCCCCGTTGAGCAAGGAGCCTGATGTGGGGCTTGATCCTGGGACTCTGGGTATTGAGTATGATGTTAGCTGTTGGGCTTGTCATATATGGCCTTTATTATGTTGAGATATGTTCTCTCTATCTCACTCCCTACCAAGAAATTTTATTCGTAAGTGGATATTGAACTTTGTCAAATTATTTTTTTTTCTATATCTGTTGAGGTGATCATAGGATTTTTTTGTCCTTCATTTTGTTAATATGGTATATTACTCTAGATTGATTTGCTGGTATTGAACCATCCTTGCATTCCTGGAATAAATCCCAGTTGCTGTGATGTGTGATCTCTTTAATGTATTGTTGAATTTGGTTTGATAATATTTGCTTGAGGATTTTTGCATCTGTGTTGATCAGGGATATTGGCCTGTAATTTTTTTTTCTTGGCACCCTTGTCTGGTTTTGGTATCTGGATAAGGTTGGCCTTGTATAATAAGTTTGGAAGTGTTCCTTCCTCTTATTTTTTGGAAGAGTTTGAAAGGATTGGTATTAAATCTTCTTGGAATATTTGATAGAATTCATTAGTGAAGCCATTTGGTCTGGGACTTCTGTTTGTAGGGGGTTTTTTAGTTACGGATTCAATCTTTACTAGTAATCAGTCTGTTCAGATTCTATATTTTTTCATGATTCACTCTTAGATGGTTATATGTTTCTAGGAATTTATCTGTTCTAGATTGTACAGTTTGTTGGTGCTTAATGGCTTGTAGTAGTTTCTTACAATCATTTTTGTTTCCTTTTTTTATAAAGAGAAATTGAAGTTTATTTATTTATTTATTTATTTAAGATTTTATTTATTTGACAGAGAGAGAGAGATCACAAGTAGGCAGAGAGGCAGGCAGAGAGAGGGAGGGAAGCAGGCTCCCTGCCAAGCAGAGAGCCCAATGCAGGGCTCGATCCCAGGATCCTGAGATCATGACCTGAGCCGAAGGCAGAGGCTTAACCCACTGAGCCACTCAGGCACCCCAATCGTTTTTATTTCTGTAGTATCAGTTTTAACATCTCTTTCATTTCTGATTTTATTGATTTGCGCCCTTTTTTTTTTTTCCATGACAAGTCAGTTTTATTTTTTAAAAGATTTTATTTGTCAGAGAGAGCGAGCGAGTGAGCGAGCGCAGAAACAGGGGGAGCACCAGAGGTGGAGGGAGAAGCAGGCTCCGCGCTGAGCAGGGAACCCAGTACAGGGCTTGATCCTAGGACCTGGAGATAATGGTCTGCGCTGAAGGCAGATACTCAGCCATGGAGCCACCAGGCACCCCAGTTTTGTTTAATTTTTTTTAAGTGACCTACTCTTGGTTTTACTGATCTTTTCTGTTGTCTTTTAGTCTCTGTTTTATTTATGTCTTCTCTGATTTTTGTTTGTTTGTTTTTGTTTTTTGTTTTTTGGCACCAAAGTAAGGTTCATTGAGTGTTAGCAAAGTGATAGTACAAAGCTCCCAAGGAGGAAGTGGACCCGAAGGGGTTGCCCTCTGCTCTGATTTTGGATACTTCCTGCCTTCTGC